GGGAGGAAAAGAGGACACTCAGTGAGATGCAGTTATTTGCCCAGGGTTCTGCAGCTCAAGCAGGACTAAAACCCACAGCCTTGCCCTTTCCCATACAAGACACCCCTACATGCACCCCTACTGCTGAAATGATGTGTCGCCTCCCCCCCCCTCCCCTCCCCCCCGCAGATCAGGTTCCGGACCTCAGAACTTTGAAGGCAGGGTTATGAGAGGAATGACACCCCAATGATATGTGAAGGTCCAGTGGCACTAGGGTTGAAGATGAGGTGGTTTAGGAAGCAGCCCAGATATTTCAGGGTTAGGGCATAGGCAGATCAGTATCTTTGCTTGGTTCTAAGGTCCTTGAGTCCTGTCTTATACTAGGTGCCTCCTGAGCCATGGAGATCCCTGTCCAGCCTAGGAGAGAGAGAAAAACAAAAAGGTGGTACAGGAGCAAGACCTGGATTTTACCTACTGGTTTGGGGAGAGAAGCCAGAGAATTGAAGGAGAAGATCTGGTGCTGGTCAAGCTGGAGGTCCCCTAGGACCTCCCCCCAACACATGTTTTCTCCTTTGCACTGCCAACATATCCCTCCTTGACCTCTAGGGGTGATCTCAGTCTCCTCTAAATTCGGTGCTGTGAATATTCCTTTATTCTTGGATGCCTCAGCACTTATATGTATCGTTTTTTATTTAGTTCCCCTGCATCTCTCCCAAGGCATTAAGAAAACAGGAATTGGCTTTATACGTCCCACCCCCAACTTTTATCCTTAAGCTCGGAACTCACTGTCTGACAGCTTCAGGGATGTGAACCTGATCCAAGGAGATGAGTTGGGCCAGCTCTCGCAGGCTGTTCAGAAAACGGATCTTTCGTGTGAACTTGGAACTGAAAAGAGAGGATAAGCCAAGTGTGTGTTGTACTGGGAAGAGGGCTCCTGGAGAGGCTTACAAAGGGACATGTGACAAGTATAGCATGGTTAAGGCTAGAAGGAGCCAGGGTGGGGCAAGATCTTCTTAATCTTGATTTTGAAAATGGGAGCGGGTCCTGGTCCCCAAAGCTTATACCTGATGAAGGGTCGCAGCAGTGCCAAGAATGCCTTCACATACCATGTGGTGTGGACAACGACCAGGCCACGCAGGTTTTTCCGGAGGCTGCAGAATAGGAGATTGTTCTGTTCTCCCACCTTCATTCCAGAAAATCAGGTGGAGCTATCTTCTGTGCTTTCACTTCTGCAGTTTCTAGATTTCTCTGGCAGTTGGGGCTAGTCCCTGCTCCTCGGCCACAGTCTGAGCCCCACCCATCATGTTTAGCCCTGCAAAGCTCCTCAGTTTTATTTCTTTTTAAGTCTTTTTTTTTTAATGTTTATTTATTTTGGAGAGAGAGAGAGACAGACAGAGTGCAAGCAGGAGGAGGGACAGAGACAGAGGGAGACACAGCAGAATCTGAAGCAGGCTCCAGGCTCTGAGCTGTCAGCACAGAGCCTGATGCGGGGCTTGAACTTGTGAACTGTGAGATCATGACCTGAGCCCAAGGCCAGAGCTTAACCAACTGAGCCACGCAGGTGCCCCAAGGCTCCTTGGTTTTAGGAATCTCTTGCCAGAACTCTTCAGCCTGGAGTCCTCCTCTGCCCCACCTCCCTCCTGTGCCCTACCCTTGCCTAAGTCCTTGGCGACTCCCCTGTCCCCTCCCCTTGTGACAAGGACAACTGACAGAACTCCAGGTGGAGGAAGGCCAGTGGGGGGGAGGGGGGAAGAAACAAAAAGAAAAAGTGAGCAAAGGGAAGATGGGGGAAAGAAAGGAGGAAAAGGGAACATCGCATGGAACAAAGCCTTACGGGTCAGGGAAGCAGGCAGAGAAGAGAGGCAGAGACAGTGGCTCCTGGGAAGTGAAATAAATGGTGAGATGGTGACCAAAGGGAGCACCTTCTGTGTGCCAGGCAACATGCCACGCTGATTTATTTGATTTTCACACGTGCGCGATGGCGAAGGTATTCTTGTTGCTGTTCTGCAGAGAAGGAAATGGAGTCCCAGGGAGGCTAAGTGACTTGCCCAAAGTCATACAGCAGGTAAATGGGAAAAGCAAGATCTGCGACTAGATTTCCCTGACTCCGAGAGAGGACGGAAGACAGGGGAGGCCTGGAAAGGGGTGTAGAGGGACAAGGTGAAGAGGAAGGGGCTACGTGGAAGAAGAAAGAATGGAAAGAGGGAAAGAGAAGGCACAGAGAGAGTGGCAGCCCCACTGCCCCGTGGCTCACCGCCGGTCCAGAGCATGGTAACACTGGCGCATCCAGCCCAGAGGTGGGACCTGGGCTCTAGTCGTGCCTCCGCTCAAGTGGACAAGCAGGTAATTTTCAGCTACCAGCAGCTCCAGAGTTCCCACCATATACCTGGGGGGCACACAACTGTCAAGGAAGGGACATGCTTCAGGATGTGGGGTGTCGGGGGGACATGACTGTAGACTTTCCAGTCAGCTTCTGATCACAGGGTGTTCTTGTTGTTGCTTTTCCCTCCCAACATCCACCCTGGGGCCCTTCAGGGCGTCGGACTCACCTGAACAAGTGCTCCATGACATAGGTATAGTTGGGGATGCTGCTGCTGGGTAGGTAACAGGAAGCAAAGACAATGACAGCATTGAGGCCATCACCATGGTAACCTGGAGAGGACAAAGGGACCATTTATTCAGTCAACAGCTACACATTGACAGTACATCTGTTTAGGTTGAAGGACTCTGAGGGTCTCTGAAAGTTACAGGAAGGATTTTGTACCCAGTAACGGAGTTTCCAACTCAAGCCTTTTATTCAGTAAGTCACAGTTCTTACCCCTCCACTTATGGTAGTCATTACCTCCATGAGAGAGGACTTTCTTATAGGGCTCAATGACCGTCATGTCCACTCGCTGTTCCCGCTGTCCTGTTCGGAACACTCTCCAGTGACGACCATCTTCTCCAGCTACATCCCACACACAACCCCGGCCCAGCCTTTCTGCTGCTTCATTGGCCCCCAGACCCTCTGCACGGGGCAGCTCATCTAAAAGAGAGGGATGGGAAAGGGTCCATAAGGCACGGTACATACCTTCAGTGTCTTGTAACTTCCCCAGGTTCTTAGAGTTGATTACTCCAACATCTCATTCCTCAGTGTTTTCCAGGACTCCAGCCCTAGTTTGTCCAATCAATACAACTGCTTGCTGGTTTCTATTTCCTGTGACTCATGATCCTCACTTTTTCACTAGACACTGGCCTTGAGGTAACCCTGCACTATGGTAGGTCCATGGCCCTTGCCAGTATTAGTTTTTTTCCGTATTCTTCTTTCCATGCTTTTCCTTGGGTGAGCTCATCTCTTCCCATGTCTTCAATCACCACCAGTAAGGTGATGATTCCAAATTTGCCTCTCTAACCCACACGTCTCTCCTAACTCCAGACCCATGTCCCTAAACGCTTAGAGTGGACATCTCTAGTTTGTGTCATCTTCAAGTCACCAGACCCAGCTGTAAGTCAGACTCATTCTCTTCCTCCCCTCTCCCATATTTCCTTTTTTTTTTTTCTTATTTTTGGGAGAGCACAAGTAGGGGATGGGTAGAGAAAGAGGGACAGATGATCTGAAGTGGGCTCTGCTTTGACAGGCTGACAGCAGTGAAGCTGACGTGGGGCTCGAACTCATGAACTGCAAGATCATGACCTGAGCCAAAGTCAGACACTCAATCAACAGAGCCACCCAGGTGCCCCAGCCATATTTCCTTTCTTGATGACTACATCCATCTAGCTGCCTGAGAGAGAAAACTGATGTCATCCAAGATTTTCTTCTCTGTCAGTGCTCAAGCCAGCTGGACCCCATATCTTCTTCCATCTATCTCCATTATATTCTCTTATTATTCTTTCCACTATTGCTGTCCTGATTCAGGTTCTTAGCATTACTCACCTGGCTTTAGTGCTAACCTCTTAACTGGTCTCCTTGCCTCTAGTTTGTTTACTTCATTCCACCTTCTACCCCCTTGCTACAGCAAGCTTTGTTTTCTACCCTACCTTTCTTATTCAAATGGCAATATACCATATCCAGCAATTCTGCATGATCCTTCCATAGCAATGGAAACAGCCGCTTCATCTTAAGAAATTGTTGCCTAGTATTTAGTATTCCATTGCATGGACACACCGTATTAGATTTAATACTCGACTGATGGACCTTTAGGTTGTTTCCAACCTCTTTAGAGCCGTCAAATCTGATCATGTTACTCCCTTGATTAAAACCATTCAGTGCCTTTTCATTGCCTACAGGATAAAATCTAAACTCCTCAGTATGGTAGCAAGGACCTCCATGATTTGACTCTTGCCAACTTAACATAGCACTCTGATTCAGAAGCTCAAGTGACAATTTGGACATGTGGTTGGCATCTGAAGTCCAGGGCAATCCTGTAGGGGAGCCCTTAACCTGTGGGGTCTGTGCTGACTCCAGTCAAGCAGCATGGCTGAACTGTAAGACACCCTTTTGATGTCTGGAGAAGTGGAGAATTGGTTGGGGTGGGGAAAACCCACACATCTGGTGTCGGAAGCGTTGTGAGTAGAGAAGAAACAAAGTTTTCCTTAATATCAAAATAGTCATGCTTAATACTTTGAATTCTCCAACATGCCACGTTCTTACCCAACTTGTTTCTTCCACCTAGAATGCCTCCCCAGCTACCGGATAAAGGCCAGCTCAGAATCACCTCCTCTGTGAAGTCTTTCCTAATGTTTCTCAGGCAAGAATTGACCTTGTTCTCATCCCTGCTGACCATAACCTATACATATGTAGACCATAATCCTTAACTATGTTTATTTGCATAAAGTATGTATATTTTAATTTCCTATTAAACAGAGAATTCCCTGAGGATAGGACTATCTTATTCATCTTTATAACTCAGTTCTTGCTCAGTAATAGCATGTAACACTCACCGGATAAAATTTTCCTTAATAAACAAAGGACCCTCCCCACCCCTCTACTGATGACTCTCGCATGGGATCTATAGGCTCTAGCTTTCTGTTCTGAGGAAAGTAATTTTGCTGACCTTATCACTTGGTCCCCACATTATTGCTTCTAACTTTAGTCTGATTAAATCCATCCTGAGCTGCTTTAACTCTAGCTTCTACTCCGAGGGGCGCCTGGGTGGCGCAGTCGGTTAAGCGTCCGACTTCAGCCAGGTCACGATCTCGCGGTCCGTGAGTTCGAGCCCCGCGTCGGGCTCTGGGCTGATGGCTCAGAGCCTGGAGCCTGTTTCCGATTCTGTGTCTCCCTCTCTCTCTGCCCCTCCCCCGTTCATGCTCTGTCTCTCTCTGTCCCAAAAAAATAAATAA